AGAGAGAGAGAGAGAGAGGGAGAGAGAGAGAAGGGGGAAGACGTACCAAGCAGAGGAACAAGATTCTTATGCCGGAGGCGATTGATGACGGTTAGCTCGGAGAGGAAGTCATCCAATCCCTTGGTCCTGTCCCTCAAGAACTTCTTGACGGCCACCTCGGTGTCTTCCCCGGGCAGCATGCCCCTGTAAACCACCCCAAACCCGCCTTGCCCCAGCTTCATCTTCTCATCGAAGTTGCCGGTGGCCTTCTTCAACTCCCCGATATCGAACTCCCTTGGCATCCCCGGGAGACGCCTCAGAGCGTTCGCCACCATCTCGCTCCGCTCCTCTCGCGCCTTCTGCCTCCTCCACCTTCTCACGTACAGCCCCGCAAGTAAACTTGCGAGTGCTACAGTCGCACCTAGCGGCGCTGCTATCTTGAGACTTAGATTCCCTCTTGCCGTAGCACCGTCGTCATACCGCTTCGGGAGGTCCTGCAGCTTGGAGAGATTCTGCACCTTCAGATTCCATGAAAGCACACAGTTAAGCTCGTAGGTGGCGCCCGTGGAGGCGGCAAAGCCGAAGTAGGAATATCGACGGACGTGACGGCTAAGGTCGAGCGACGTGTTGAGGACCGGAACAAATGGCTTTGGCGTGCCGGAAACCGCCATGTACACAGACACGGCGCGTCCTATCCCGTCGTAGTCCACCCACACGGTGTAGTTGGTGATGTTAACAGGGGCGATCGGGATGTCGACCTCGGCAGCGACGTCGGAGACGACACTGTTGACGTTAAGACCGACATGGTTGTCGTTGGGGTCATACGACTGCTTAACGGTGTCGAACTCGATGGCCACGAGATGGTTGTCGGGGTTACCATCGAGGGTGGCGTTGGTGAGCCCAAGGAAGCCGTGCTCGCTCCCGGACGGCGGAGCATCAAGAGATGGGAGGATGACGAAGGCGAATCCCTCGCCGGGAACGGCACCGCCCGGGCGATAGATGATGACGTCGAAGTCGGTGTTGAAGGAGGCGACTGAGTTGGAGGCGTCGTCATCGTCGTCGTCTTCCCACAGCTTGAACGGGATGGTAAAGACGATGCGGCCGGACTTGTTGGCGAGGTGAGCTGAGTAGTTGAGGCCAAAGGGGGTGACCTGGAGCGCGCCTTGGCCGTAGCCGGCGTCCTTGAGCATGAGGAGCGTGGTGCCATTGGCGACGTCGTTGAAGGAAGAGATGGAGTAGGTCTCGTAGCTGGTGGTGGTCGTGACGACCTGTTGGAGGTCAGCCACCTGGAAGTGGAAGAGGAGGCAGACGACGACGACGGCGTTGGGGAGGACGAAGAAAGCCGGCGGCGTGCGTCTCATCAGTGCATTGATTGCATTCAGTTGGCTATTCCTTCTCCTGTAAAACAGAGGACACATGTTGGGTAATAACGCTGACCAAGTCAACGAAATTATTTCCTTGACTACTAAGGCAGACTTCTTTTTTGTGGTAGTCTTCTCTCTTATAATAGATTAATTTATTTAGCATGCTTGCAGATTAATTTATGGTAGCATACTTCAGTATAAAGGGTTAGTCATCCACAACATCAATTTTACTTATAAAATAGGATTATGATCTAAATATTCCATGTCAAATTTTATTAATTATATTAAAATTATTTAAAATTAAAATTTACTATTAATTAACTTAGAATCATGTCATAATAATAATACAGGAGAATTTGATTCTGATTTGAGTAAATTTTAACTTGAGTTATACTCGAGTTACGAATAGGATAAGAATTATAATTTAATAATCGGATCAATGCATGATAAATTCTACTAATTATATTAAAATTATCAAAAAAATTTTAAAAATTATTACCAATCAACTTAGAATTATGACTAGTAGTTTTCGATAAGTTTCGATCGATTATATATATTTTAACTCAAGTGTATGAGTTACACAAGATCATAGTTTATTTCAAATCCTTAATGTAACACTATAATAATAGCGATAGTACAACTAGACAAGTGATAATACCGTCTATACCCAGTGCTCTATTGACTTGGGGTGATGGTATCGTCGAAAATTAAAATATATTTTTATAAAAATAAATTCTAAAATCATCTAAAAATAAAATAAATTATAGAAAATGATAATAAAATATATTAGAATTATGTTACGATTGTTATAGAGAAGTTTCAATATGTTTAGAAAAAATTAGTAGAATTATATTCGAGTTATACTTACATTATATTCAATAATATATTTGATCTCACACATCCCCTATTTAGACAATTTAGCATCCTAAAATAAAAAAAATGATAATAAATATGTTATGATCATGTTATGATAGTTTTACAAAATTTTGAATATGATTAGAGATAACTCAATGATTTACACTTGAGTTACACTCAATCAGATATTCAATGTAAAAATCTATTATTACGATATTTAATGATTTTAAAATAAAAAATAAAAATAATGCTAAAGTTTTGAAAAAAATTGAATTGGTTTGAGGATAATTTCTTTATTTACATTAGATTTATACTCCGATTATACTTGAGTTACACTTGAGTCATACTCCAATTATAGTTATCACGTTTTCAATCATAAGTATTCTATTTCAAAAGTGAATCATCCTAATACACAATTGAGAAATACTTGTTCATAATAACATCGAAGCAATTCACAAACCAAATAAATTACCAATATGACATGAAAATAATTCAAATTAACATTAATCCAATTACCAACATGACATTATATTGTCAAATAATTTGTATAAGAACAGAGGCCATCATACAAGATAATAACAATAATAATATTTTTAATATTTCATAAGTTCAAATCTCTCATAATATTTTAATATTTAATAATAATATTTTTAATATTTCATAATATTTTATTATTGTGTGCCTTGCCACACAATAATAATCGTCAAATATATCATTAACAATTTGGAACCTAAACAATAGCATGTCCATTTGGCTAAATTTCATTTGTTTGTCCATTAATAAGTGATCCATCTACTTCATCACAAATATCACGCAATCATTGCTTAAAATAAATAAAATCAATTAGTATAATAATCATACAAATCGAGCAATGTGAATTACATGAATAACTTATGATGCTTCTTGTTGAGGATATTTTATTACCTTTATCTTTTATTCTAGTTTTCTCTATAATTGTAGGATGAAGACCCTCTAAATTAACTGGTGATATTTTCTTGAATTTTTGTACCTATTTTAAATAAATAAATACTTAATATAAGATAAAATATATATTGTAAAGGGGGTAATGTATATGAAAGTTATAAGATTGACAAAAGGTTTTTATAACAAAAAAAAAGAAAAAAAAAATAAGGCCTTCTAGGAAATTTAGTGGATTTCTATACCGAGTAGTACGTGGTCATATCGTTATACCAAGTTGAGAGAAAGAGGAAGGAGAGTGATCGAAATGGGAGAAGATACCGATCGTAGATTGGTGGGCAAGAGACACTTGACTTCTTGATATCTGTCGATCAGTTGATGCCAATTAACTCCTTGTTTGATCGATCCTTTGATATGATACTTAAACTTATCATGGATCACTGGCTTTATGCTTCGATCGCATAAAATTTGTTTGAATTAATTGTTTCCATTGAGCAATTGATCATCTATTAGTAAAAACATAAGTTTGGGTCGAAGAGGTTATCGGAGAGAGAAGATAGTCGTCGAAGAGGAGCAGAGATCTGCACTCAATGATGCCAACGGCTCGATGCTCGATGATGTCATAAATGAAGTCGATGCCTCGTTCAACATGCTAGAGGAGAAGAAAGGACTAGCTCGGTGTTCGATGATGTGATAGCCATAGATGAAAATACTATTATTTTCAACGGGAGAGGAGATGAAGTCATCGATGAAGTTGATGCCAAAAAGGGGGGATGTCATCGTCATTTGTTACTATCATTCATCACCGGAGAGGAGTATCGATCGTTGTTGCCTACACTAGGGTTATACTCATTCACTGTAACTCTCGTGTGACTCCCTTACTAAGTATCTTAAACCCGACCTGATTCACTTAGTAAGATCCAACCCGAATGGATTTGACCTAGATCGAGATTCAAACCGAACCAACCCAACCCTTGGATCGATCGGGTTTGAATCAACCCACCCAATCCAATAAAAAAATATCAGACTTGAATTGAAGGGTATTATTGGTATTTTAAAAAATATCCTCTCATTATATGAGAAAACTTTATTATTAGAAGCTTTTTGATAAATTATCCATAAAAAATGAAGAGTTTGAAGAGACCAAACATGTAAAAAAAATAAAAATGAGTGGAATAAAAAATATTTTGATTAGATAAAAAACATGAAACGTGTTGGGTGACAATTGATCGGCCATAAGAAATTGGCAAAATCACATGACCTCATATTTTAATCCTACTCCAATTCATGACTTCTGTTCTTTAAATCCTATAACAAATTAGATTCAACTTTATCCTGTGATGTAGCCATCTTTGACTAAAAATTCTCCCAAGACATAAGTTTCTACTAATCCAACTTATACCTTTCATGAAGTTCAGCTAAATATCATACTGCTCTATTTTCCATATGGACTATAATTTGTTAAGCTTTGATGGTAGAGAGTGCCAAAATTGATACTCTCACTACTTTGTTAAGATATATTTCTACAAGCACAGCTCATAGATACATTTTGGATCACCCATTACGACACCATCACCATCAATGTCTATATCATAGATTAGATCCAACATTGTCTTCGACAAGGATCGACACTGCTCTCAAGAGTAGTTTCTTGGAAGAGGGTGAGGCAGCACAAGAGTATTTCTTTCTTGTAGATGATGTGGGAGTGCAGAGACCTGTGATCTGCCATCATCACCACCTCACCAGTGGGGTACCAAGTTCTTACAGGTAGTTTCCATGCAATACAACAGTCAAAAAGAAGGGAGAAGGTAAGAGATCATAACAAATGATGGGCATCTGCACATATTTACTGAAGTAGGAGAAGGTAGACATGTCGAAAGATCTGTAATGAACATACTGATATATCAAAGAACAACATATTTCAAGTACATATGAATGCATTCCATTAACAATACTTGCAATAAGAACATTACTTTTATACCATAGACTGCAAGTCTCGTGGAATGCAATGGGCAGCAACTGATAACAATTGAGATCTGATGCCACAGAAACCTGATTACAAAATGATGTAAAGATATTATATATGTGAACTAGGAGAAATATAATAAAATTGTCTTTTCAGATGATACTGTGAGTACCTCAACATATCAATTGACAGTAGATGAACTAAAAGAGCTGTTGCGGGAGTAGCTCAATGGATGTTCAGTGGATGCATCATCGTTATCGAGTGAAGGGAAGGGAGGAATAGATTTCAGTATCAGTTTCCTGCAACTTCTACGGTTTGGTGGTGACAAGCCAACTCCAATATGTGGAGGTGAGACCCTCTTCCGATTAGGTGAAGCAATCTTAATACCGGTGGTGGGTGATGCATTGGATTTTAGAATACTTGGAGTGTCATCCTCGAAATTTGCATTGATCTTGTTCTCTGATTTATCTTGAGAGAGAAGGATTTCAGACTTCCAAAGTATGTGAGAGCCATATAATCCAGGAGACCGTCCAATTGAAAGCTTGCTAACTCGTGGTGGCTTTGCACTTGAAGAAGATGGCAGTTTGATCGATCGCCTAGGGAAAATCATAAACTTTTGTTAGATAGTTGTGGGAAAATGAGAGTGAAGACTAAGCTATCAAAATTAGTGCTGTACCTGCAACTTTGGTGAGGTGTAATGGGTAATATATTTCCAAAAGAATTACGTTCATCGATTTGGACTTTAGCAATTTGTGGGCCATCATCTAGACCTTCCTTTTCCTTGTCATAAGCATCAGTTTCTTCCTCCACATGTTCAATTTCTCCAACACCTGGGATAAAACATTAATAAAAAAGGAATTTATCAACCAGAATAATGAATTATGCTTAAGAAGGCTTAAAGTTTTGATTTAAACTTGGTTTCAGACATAAGAAACACAAGAAAAATGCAACAATATAGATACAAAATAATCACTTAAGTTTTCTCCTAAAACATTGTCTTGTTAAATACTCTTCTAACTCAGCGGATAAGTATGAAGTATTGAGTATCTTTCCTCATCTTATATTGCTGACATTGAACTAAGACATGAAATTTCTCATCATAATCCTAATGATATTACTTACGTTCTTAAATATACCAAAAAGAAGATACAATACTCATTTCCTGGATGTAGGTTTGCATGCCACGATATCATATTTACCATAGAAACACATTATCTTTCCCTCTACACATAGTTTGTTTTATTGGTCTACAATCATGTTCATAGAAAATATGTTTATCCTATTTATCATAGAAACATATCAATTGTCTTTCCATAGACACATAGTTTGCATTATTGGGCAATTATCAGATGATACCTGTGATCCTTGTTGGTACATCTGAGATCAATGAAAGACAGAAAAGAAACTTGTGCTTTAACAATGAAATGGAGGAGAAGCTGTACCATCCACTATTTTGTAAGACAAGGAAATGATATGGGACAAAAAAAAAATTGACGAGTAGCTCTTAACCTCTTAAGAAAAAAGGAATTATCATAAAGCAAAAAAGATATCATGTGATCTACAATTAATCTTGAATCATGTGGACACACCTTCAAATGATTTTTTTTCTTTATTTGTCTCTGTAATACATACAATTCATCTGTCAGTGCATATAGAAGCATCCCATTTATATCTTCAAAAGGATAAGTGGGTAAATTTTGGGTTTGTGTATGACATACACAATGGTTATTTAATTACATTAGTATCTTTGTCTGACATGTTTCATATTTATATTTAATAAATATATTACGGATGAATTAATGTCCATTATGTTTTATTGTTATCATTTATATAGTTTTATTTTATTTATTCTAGTTTTATTTTTTTTATAAGTTAGATATTACAAAAAAAATAAGGTCAAAAAATCCTTTATCATATAATGTTTTATTGTCACAAAATTTATTTTAAATTTTAATCTCAATTTTTATTATTTTAAGTTTTTAAATTTCAATTATTTTCTCGAATGTACCTGTCATGACCCGACCTAATGAAATAACTAGCATGTTAACTTTGTTGAGCCCAAACCACTAGTCAAAATGTATAGATTAAAGGCTTGATGTCCTTGTCAAAGCCTAACATAGCCCAAATCAAACCCTTGTATAGTGCATTTGAATCATAACCCAGTGGTGGCTCTATGCCTTACCAACTTCGTTGAGCCCAAACCACTAACCAAAATGCTTAAGCTAAAGTTAATAATAGTACATTCATCAAACCCTTATAAATTATTCTTAATCTCACCCACTTCCGATATAGAACTAATTGGGGTGTTATAAATCCGACTTATTCTGCCAATCTTAAATCTTCCCTAGATGATCCTAATTGACATACTTATTGCAGACTATGTTTAGATAGTAACTCGATGTTAATATGGCCTTAAAAAAATAAATGTAAGTATTTATATAAATGACATTCACCTTCTTTCCTTCCAAATGCATTTTTACATCCTTCACATCTGCAGCTGATTGAGCATCCAACACCAAACTAAAAAGAAACAAATATGTCCAAGTCATGCAACATAAGATAGTAAAAGCATGTTGTAACCAAGACATAAACCTGATAGCATTCACAGTATTTCTTCAGACAATTTGACTTTTTACAATTGCATCCTCTTTTATGTCGTGTTGAAGCAGGAGTCTTGTTAGCATCATCCTGAAGATGTCAAAAGAATGATCACATCAAAACCAGAAGTAGGAGAAAAGGAAAAGACAGAAGAATAATATCACATATGATATTCCCACCCTCATTTCCACACCAGCCTCAGATGTTCGAATTACTTTTGGGGCAAATGCAAGTGGATTGCGAGATTCTATTTGCTTCCGAGTAGCCAGGACAGTTTCCTCGTGAATGGGTTTGTTAAAACATCCTTGGCATGAACAAGGCTCGGAACAGTAAACTCCAGCAGCAAAACACTCACAATAACTACATAAGATGTTGACATGTCAATACCAAAACTTAAAAAGACATACTAAAAGTGACAAATTTAAAACTAGATTAATTGCTTGTTCTTAAATTAATTACTTAAATAAACAAAGAAGGCATATGAAATACAATATCTTTCTTATATCTATCACCAAAGTTCTTATAAGAGCATCAGATGAAGTGAAAAGAGCCTCACAGTTTCAGGCATTTTGACTTCTTACAGTTGCAACGCTTGCATCCTTCACTTTCACCTCCATTTTCTGACTTGCATCTAGATCATGAGGTTCCTTTGTTATTGATATAATGAAGAACAAAACATGACCATGCATAGGAACATATGCAACATACCTTTTCTTCTTTGGACTACCTTGACTTAACTCCTCATAATTGCCAAGTGAAATATCCTTTGCAGCAGCATCATATGTAACCTGAAGGTCTTCAATTTCACCACTGGTCAAAAGATCAGCTTCAATAGCCAAGGACTTCTGTGGACTGTTCCTCCCAGTTGTTGCTGATGCAAAGGGATCAATGGGGCATGGCATAGTGATTAGTTGTTTTCCGGGAGCCAGTTTCTCATTCTTGACCATTCTATCCATTGATGTTGTAGCAAGAGCGTTCAGATGTAACCCAATACCAGGAAAAGCACACAGTGATGAACTAATGGCAGGCTTCAAGTTGGCATCAAAAATATTCCTGCTTTTGGATGGTAAAGTAGTTGACTGGTTGCGGCTTGAGTCACCATATATGTTCCTTTGAGAAATACCAGCTACTTCAAAGACCAAACAGCGTCTGTGAATGCCATGTTGTTTGCTGTCATCAACCTAATAAGAGAACTGGCATAAATTACCTCTAAATTGTCCAAAACATATTTCATGTATTCAAAGTAATGCCAACAGGATCAATGTGACATGATGAACACATATCAATCAAATCTACACAGTGTATTGTTGTAATGGGCAGGTTTATGTCATAGTTTGACATGCAACATTCAGCTATAGACCTAAACTCCTTATGGGTGAATAATGCCCTCAGCTGTCCACTCCACCCCTTTGTATACCTTCTCCTCCGTAAAAAGTGTGACATGCGCTTAGAGGCAACACAATTATTTTCTTGCAGAAATGACAAAACGTCCATTTTAAATCTCCTCAGACACAAAAGTATAGCAGGTTAATTGACCAGACTACCTAAGCTTCTGACATAAGGCTTTTACAGTTTCAGGCATGAACATATAAAACAAATCGAGTATAACTATTCCTAAGGCACATTAAAAATGTTGTGAATGGACTAGGGGGTAATTTGATAGATTTATGAAAAAAGGGTGAACCCAACATTAATGGAAGATCAAGCACACAGAAAACATCAATAACAGCACATGCCATAAAGTCCCAGTTATAACACAGTTAGTGTAACTCAGCCTTCTATAAAAAAGTGTAACTCAAGGCATAGTTTTTTCTATGATCTAAAGCCTGATCACCCATATCGCAAGAGAGTAACCTTACTATTATACCAAAACCCACACTCAAAATGATAGATATATCAACTTAAAAGAATTCACACAATGTATGTAGAAATCAACAGTAGTTAAGGTACTCAAGGATATTGTAGTCGGAACCTCCATAGAGGAAGAAAGTGGATGGAGCTTAATGGAGTCCTAAACTTCATGAAAAAATATGGGACAAAATGCCCCTGCTCAACAGATCAATAAGAAGTGTCAAGATTGAGCAAATAAAATGGGATATAGAGAAACAAGAGCAGAATAAACAAACAAGAAATCACTTTTTGGAAGACAAATTACCATGTTGCCAGTAGGACATCATCACAAGCTACATAATCAATTTTGTAATTTAATAGCTCAACATTACCTGATTTTGGTGAGTTACTGAGAGCATTTTTTTGCCATGTTCTGTTTCAGGTTTCTTCTTCCTAGAATCTTCACTACATTTCAATTGAAGATCTTGGGTGATATCTTGGACACAAGGACGATGAGGGATATCAGGTTGTGTTTTCTGTAGTTTATCAACATTCTCTGTGTAATTTGACAATAAAGAAACAAAAGAAGTCACATCATTGCCTATGACTTCCTCACCTCCTCGTTCATGAACCACTGGTTCCATGAATGAATCAAAAATCAACATATCTTCAGCATCATCAAAGATCAAATTTTCCTGAACCCCTTCCACTTCATCTTTGTTCAGCTCAAGAGGATGATTTTCCTGAACTCCAGTCTCCATGGTAAACAAAATTTTTCGTCTGTCTATATCATTCTGAACAAAAGGAACAAGTTCTGCTGGTGCATGACCTAAGTCTAACGCAAATTTCATTTTGGTGTTATGATCTGGACTTCCAGAATCATACTGCGATGACTGAGGAAGAGTACTTGGAAGGATTGGACAGTGCTCAGGAGGATCGATGGCAGCCTCATTGAATGAACATGTTATATTGCAATTATCCTGTGTGGTGGCAGTAAATCTCGATGGCCTAACAACATCAGAAACCTCTGAGCATAGGCTACTTTCACCAACATTTTCCAAAAATTCCTCACGTCTGGATAAATCTGTGGAAGGAGGCCTGGTAACAGAAGAAAATAATCATTGTCAAATTTGGATCAATTGGAACATACACTAATCTGACCTTAATATATGCAAAATGTGATTGATAATTACCCTGTCAAGTTCCTGGTAACTCTTGGAGGATTGGCATGTGGTGAACTAAATATAGATGAAAGAGAAGCAAAATTCAATGACTGATATGTATGTGCAATATGTGCTGAATCGGTTGATTTAACAGGTCGGATAGGAGATAAATTATTGATGAAGTTGAAGACGGGTGAATCCTGCAATGCAGAAAGAACTTATCAAGCATATAACGCGCATAACCCAAGAATGTCATAAATCATTTAGAAAATGCAGCGAGGACAACAATGGTACTCCATAACCTAATTACATAATACACTTTCTACCAAGATAAAGGAAGACCATAGGATAAACACAGATGAGACTCCAAAGTTGAAGGCCAATGGTATAAATAAACTTTACCAGCATATGTTACTACCTAAATCCAAGGACTAAGATAATGGTCATGCAAGGAAGCATGCAAGAAACAAGACAGCACAACCATGCCTGCAAATAAAACCCATTCACCCATCTATAGAGCAAACATGGGCATTACTATTGTAAGCACACATCTGCAGGATGCATACCATCCACTTACCTACAAGCACACTCATGTCATACAGCATTTGAGCTAGCAACAAAGTTATACAGGTTGATTCTACAAAATCAGAGTCTAACAAGGATTTAGGCTGGCATACAGTTAAAGAAACTCGAGCACTAAAATGTTTGCATTTGAAAACAAAGCAGGGAACAGCATTAGTTGTGTGGATGTAAGAATTTAGTAAGATAGTGGTAATCATTCATCACTTACATGGTGAAAACCTCAAGAAAATATTTTAGAGTGCGATGTATGCACAAACAAAAAGACTACTAAAGAATCAAGTCAGTTTTGAAAAATGCAACTATTTTTTTGACGATATCCAGAAAGAAGTGAAAATCTTGCCATTTTCACCAAAAAGATTAAACCACCAAATCACATGCAAATTTTTTTTCTTCTTCAGCTAGACAAAGACCAGAAGGACATATGACAAAATAAAGCAGTTATGAGACGAGAATTCATAGGAAAAGTGATGCATAAAAAGGAAAAAGAAGAAGCATCAAATCTTATCTATATGACTGTAACCGCAACAAACCGAACCCCCCAAAAGCTTGTCAAAAGAGGAAACAATAAGACAATCTCTAAATAGCACTTCAGTCAAAAACATCACCACCAAGAAAATTCTAGCAGAAGCAAACAATTTAAGGACTTTCTTCAAGAAAGTACACAAAAAAAATGTAGAGACAAATGAGCATAAAATTGCCAATCTCAAGCAATCTCAACGAAACAGACCGATATCTATCTTATCTATATATGGCTATATAAATCAAACATCTATGACTAAAATAGAAACAATTTGCAAATGAAGTGAACTAAAATAGAAAAAGAAATAAAGAAAGAACACAAAGTGATAATAACGCACAACACGACAGAAAGGTTAGGTCTGTTCATGCATCAAAGACACTCAGAAAAAATCATCCTCCAAGACACAATTAAACACTGCAGATGACATCCGAGCGGCATCTCAGTCGAAATGTCACCACATAAAATGAAGTCCCAAAAAGAATTGTGACAAATTAGCCCATTAAAAGTGCCTGTTTCTTTCAAGAAAAGAGAACGAAAACGAAGAAACCACATCAAAAAAAGAATACAGAAGGATAACAATGTCCCGACAATTCTACATCAAGAATTCAAGAACCCAAAGCAAACTTAGCCGACCGAACCTCCATTCTTGCATCGAAGACAGTCAACTCGAACCCAATTCAGCCAAAATGTCACTGAGCGAGCAAGTTGTAGCATAAAGTACCCATTTTGAGCGCTTATTTGTAAAGAAGGCACATGAAAACGAAGAATCCACCGACCAGTGACTCAGCCCGTGCGGTGAAATCTCAGAAAGAACATAAAAGAAGAACAAAGATCCATTTTTTTTCCAATACAAAAGACAGAGACACTCGACCCAATCCTCCACAACACATTAGAACACCCAAAAGCAGGCCGAACAAGGTCACGTCTTGACGCCAATCACCTCAAACTTGGAGAGCGACGCGCCGCCGGTCTTGCCTCGCTGGGGCGTCTCCATCTCTCTTGGGCGCCCTCTGGGAGCTCACCCGCATCTCCCTCCCCTTCCTCCCCGTCCCTTCCTCCACTTTGCTTTCTCCTTCCTCTCAGTCTCGGAGCTGCAAGATTTGAAGGAGGAGTTTGGTGGCAAGGGCGGGAATGCGATTATTTTTGGCTCCTCCTCCTCATCCTCGATGCATTCTAATCTAATCCACTCTCTCTCTCTCTCTCTCTCTCTCTCTCTCTCTCTCTCGTCCGTCCCCACCACAGCTCGCACCCTTTCGCCATTTCTCCTCGACAAAAGTAGGGCAAAACACATTGATTACCAGCTTCCACGTCGCGGTTACGAGGCGGTAAGAATAAGGACGACTCGAGGACAGAAAAGTAAAACGGCGATCCGACGATCCCTCACCAGATCCTGCGGTATTCTCACCAGAATTACATATATATGTATATATATATTATATCTTAAGGAAAGCTATTGATGTTGTAAGTAAATGATATAATTAATATTAGTAAAAGACATGTGGTTTTACTATAAATCTTACTTAAGTAAGATTATTGATTCACATAGATCTCAAGAACAATATAAAATTCAGATTATTTTTATACACTATATTTTATATTTCCTGTTATTTATATTTTCTTAACATATATATCATACTATCCTAAAAACTTGTGTTAGTAGAGTAGAGGCATTTAAATTATAATTATTGTAATCATCCTTTAAAATTAATTATACTGTGATATGGTTAGGAACACTAAAGGTAAGTGTTTATTAGTGGTTGTACAAAATATCTACCTATTTATATGTCATGATTAATGGCTCTAAGTGTTTTCTTTAGATAGATAAACATTTATTAGGGGTTAATTGCTATTTCAAACTTTGCATTAAAAAAAAGTTTTTTAGTTCATATAAATCAAAGAAAATGCATCTAAATTTGCATTCATGCAAATCATTCAATTATGTCTAATTACTTTTTGAGGTGCATGCATAGATTTCATTCATCTTTATATTATTATCAAAGAGAATGCACCTCTTCTTGTCATATATTCATAAATACATAAAAATATAATAAATTATTTTATAAAAATATTCCCACCAAAATTGTGTATGATTGTGGTCAATCAGCAATAAAACGTAAATTGATGTACAGATGGCAGACAGCTATAAGAAATTAGGATTAATTCAATAATAATGGGAAATAATGATACATTAAATCCTCCAACTGTGGAGAAGGCTTATACAGCCACACTCGCGGATGGGTAAACCTGAAGCTACACGTGCAACCAGCGGTCGAGCGCATTGGGCCCCGCAGGACGAAAGAGAAGGTGGAGACGCGTGTAAGTCCCGCAAACCTCCCTGGCATAATGCGAGATCCGGTGTTTCGAGGTGAGAGTAAGGAGCGAGATAACGGCTGGGCTTCCGTTACGGTTGTGTTCCGACGGGGACGCCATCGTTGCGCGCGGGGAAGAGCGGAGGAAACGGAAACCGTTAATGCCGTATAAGACCATGAAATGAATCCCCATAAAAGAATAATAATGGAGTTTTACTACTTGAAATGAACTAAAAAATAATATTTATTTCCCGAAAACAAATAAAACCTGAAGAACAGATGTATCATAATCATTTTGAGCCCAATAATAGTCTAATGAAACAAAAGCTGATGTGATCTTGACCACGAGATTGCTAAAGTTGATATGAATATACATGTAATATGATACTAAGCAAAAGCTGATACAGTCTCGATCACAAGATTGCTGTGCTACAGATGAGATTCTCCCTTGTCACAAATAACCAATACTTTTGTGTCTTTCTGCTCTTTCTGTAACTTTGCTGGGAGTACCAATCCTTCCATTCCCTCCTCCTGCAGTTCGTTGGACAGTATGTATATACAGAACCCAACCATGAGCTTGCGCTGTGCTTGAACACCCCCTCGAGCATCACCTGATTCCTGCCGTGGCCCTTGTCCTTGTGCTTGGGGTGGCTCCTCAGGGACAGTGTTGACCCCATGCCACCTTGATGATGGCTGTCTTGTGTGCGTGACTGTGAATTATTGTGGCCACCTGCATGCGGGGCTCAATCACGAGTCTCATGAGAGAGAGAGAGAGAGAGAAGAGATGAGTCTCAAGTGGCATTTTGCTGAGATAAAGTAACACAGGCAGTATTGCTTGCATGCTCTTTTACTTTTACTTTCAGCAGTGCAGTGTCCCCATGGTGATGCAGGAAACTGATAGGTCCATGATTGCATGAAGTGACATAGGAGAAGAAGGTTTGGTGAGATGTGAGGAGACAAAGAAGGGTCTGTGAGTCAGTGCCTAGAAGACTTACTTTTACTGATGTCAGTGAAGTAAGTAGAAATCAGGGGATCAGTTTGGTTGGGATAGAAGGACAATAGACTTTGGGAGGGAAGTTTTGGGCTGTAATTGAACTCAAATATGAACTTGTTTAGGGTTTGTACGTTTCACATGGATGGATCACATTCTTACATCCCGATTGTCCACTTCCGCCAGCTTCATTTGTCATGGTGGGTTCTTGAATTCCTTGTGAGTACTTTTTTTGTCATGTGCATGGTTTTGAAGTTTGGATCATGATAAATCCACAACATTCCTACCTCTAAGAGGCAGTTCTTTGGGAAATTAAAGAGAGAAGTGAATATTTAGGAAAAAAATGATAAGAATGAAAATGCTCATGTTTATGTTATACACTACAAGCAAAGTAGTTATGTCAAATTGCGGCAAAATGATTCTTAGTATTTTCTCTAAGAAGACAAGTGCCAGTTTGTAACCAATCCATTTTTAGTGAGCTGAAACATTGTCACAAATTTGACCACATATAACAAAACTCAACTACCACCAGTTCTTGATGATTGAGACATCGATCGACACTTACGAGTTGGATCGAATGATTTATAGACACCTTTAATACCTTAAGGTGCTTCACTTCTTGAGTTTAGATACACAACACGGCCCATTCCTTGCATAAATCATCCAACGATGCACAGGCAAGGCAAAGACATCCGAAATAATCGAAGGATTCATGGATGTCCGAAAAGTAAACCATCTTGATAATCACAGCACAGTGAAGTATAATCTCAAGACGATGTGTTAGATTATATAAAGTATTATTCTATTTGTACCCTCATCCGAAGATCCCACCAACCCACCCATGTCTTTCAATCCCATCTGCTTCATGAAGTTCTGCAGGCCACCCATGCCACCGATCTGCTTCAGCATCTGTGGTGGTAGGACCTTGCTCATGTGCCGTGCATTCATGTTCCGAGACAATACACTCATTTCACCTTTCTGATATCTTGAACTACCCCTTCATCTCGCTGCACATCTTTGCGAAGCGCGCTTGTGTTCCTCCAGCATTTCTGTGACATCTCTGACTGGCCTGTCCAAACCCCTCGCAGTGTGCAGCGTATGGTATTCATTCATCAGTTTTGGGTTTGTGCCGTCCAGCTCTGGGTGGCACAGAAGAGCAGTGTCGGGATATATCATTCCACTGGAATTAGATCTCTACAGGAATACATATAATTAAGGGACATGTTACCTGCATTTGTCATGGAATCCATTATTGTCATAAACAGCTTGATTTTTGCTCGACTTTCCTTTTCATGACCTTTTGACATCAACTTGGCACTAAACCAAGGTAGCATAGAGAATAACTGAACGTAACAGAAATACCGAGCTCCTCATTAGATGATCGAAAAGATTAGAAAAAGAAATCAGATTCTGCTGAGATCAAATAAATCCTGAGATACAGGAAGAACCAAATCCAAAGGAATACAATGACCAGAGAAACAGAATAATTTAAACGAAAGTGGTCAAGATATAATACATGGTTATTATTTTTCAAAAACGGTAAAGAAAATACTGGGGAAAACTAAATATTCAGAACCATATGTCAACCTGACCTGTAGGACCCATTTTGAGAAATGTTTTTGAACAGCTGGTACATAAGCCGCAGGGTAAAGCTTCCTTAAAAGATGACTGACAAATGGCTTGACATCGAAAATTTCAAACTCCTCCGGGTGCTCTCCTGTTCCAATAAAGGGACTGGTCTTTTGGTGGCTGCAACTCTGCAAGCAAACCAAGTAGCAATAATCACTATCTATTTTAACAGAAAAACTGGGAGTCAAATGTAAATTCAAATTTGTATATGCAACAAACACAAGTTTCTATACGTTGGAAAAAAAGTGTCTGTGAAATATAATTACAGCTTGCTATATAATCATATCATGTGCTATACAAGACAACATTGTATAGTGCAATACAATTTCCTATTGTTTCCAATGGACAATTCAAAAATTTTCTCAAGGAAGGTAGGTCACCAAAAAGGAAGAAGAAGCTGCCTGCAAAAGGGTATAACTTAGTACTTAGTAATAATGAAAAGTTGTAGTGTACATGCTAAACAAAATATCAATCAAAGTTTCAGAAAAGAAAAAAAAAAAGATAAAAAGGCCAGAGAGGTCCGGACCAGATTGTTGATCTTGCAAGTTATATTTGAAAATAATAATCACAGCTCCAATGGCTACACTTATTTTGAAGGCTTGTGCTTGATCAAATGTTGCTTGACCAATACTGCTCTCCATGACAAATATTATAAGATCGGTATTCTGAGAAAAAGGAACAAGAAAAACCAGCAAATTTCTGTTAGAACATCTGTCAGTTGAATATGTGATTGAAAAGAACAATATATCTACAAAAAGCTTCCTGTTTGTGTTGTCCTCTTGTATCCACAAAAATCAAATCACGGTTTTCTTTCTTAAATGTTTCAACTCCATCAACAGCAATTTTTACAGGATCTGATTCCATGTTACTGCTGCAGCAAGTGATCAAAGTGACCATTAAAAATGGAAGGACTTACTACAGCTGCATGTACAAACCACACATGATCAAGAACCACAATAGGCTCGATAAACATTACAAAAATAACTAGCTCAATACCATACAAATAAAGTGCAGTACAATAGAGACCTGCGTTGGTGTAAAACAGTGCAGGACAAAAGAAACTCGTGGCCGTGCGTCTTCATACCACTAAAAATAGAAATAAAAGGTAGTCCTGCAACACTAGTTAAAGTCTAGTTAAAGTCTCTGCCAACAAAAAAGTGAGGTCCAATACATAAGACTTCCATCAACAACGAGTGTGTCAAATGTTACCAACAACTGCCAAGTTCACAACATGATTATGAAGAGCACAATAAGGTAGCACATTCATGAAAGGGTGAATTCCAATAATCAAGAGCTGTTTGGCTATATTTAACTATATCATGCTTCTAAAAAATCAATAGTGTTAGAACCTCCAAATTCCCAGAGTTACAGCAGCACTCCCTTGTGCTGCCAGAGCTTAGCCCTGGGCGCTGGTAGAAACTCCACCTAATTGTCAAGCATGATTGACGGATATAGTATGTATATACCTAACGGGTAATTAAAGATGGTTCCTTGATCAAAAGAACAATAAAATAGAGAGACTGCAACTAATAACAGCCTAAATAAAACATTCCGACAACTCAAGCAATACCTTCCATAGTAAGGAATTTTGGTTTTTGTTGCATTTTTGCTTGAACTGATCAAATGCACCGGCTCTAAATGTATCGGCGCAAAATAATGTTGGTTTCCATCCCTTCTTTTGATAATAATATGCATGTTTAGTACAAGTTGTGGTCTTCCCAGAACCTGACAATAGATTAAAGGGCAAGCAAAGTCAATAAGTGAAATAAGTTATGACACGTTGGAAACTTAAATCATTTGGGGAAACAGAAACATTTCTTAATCAGAAAAAAGTGCATAAAGTATTACTATCCCAAAACTCAACTAAAGTACATGCAGAATAATCACAGGGTATAACTGAAAATCAAATGATAAGTTAGATATGGGGTAACTCTCTGTGAAAAACGAAAAATAAGAAAAACTTAGATGTCTGCAATCTAAGTTCAATACTGGATTCCAAAATTCTAGTACAATCTCAAAGTTCAATGCCACCTGAAATTTCAAAAATTAGATGTCTACACAATCTAACATTAAAAGACTAATTATATTTCATTGTTTATTTTAGATGCATGCAATCTTTTGTTGTACCAAGGGCAAACCTTGGCAGTTGGCATCATGGTGAGATTGCTCCTTTATGACCTAAGTGACCAAGGTTCAAGTCACAAAAACAACTTCTACACTTACAAGGATAAGATCACATAGTTGACCTTTCTCAGATACTGTGTTGGTGGGAGCCTTATGCAGTCGACCGAGGTCTTAATTCTTTATGGATTCAATCTGCTAATAAGTCCTACAACAACCAACGGTTAATTTTACATAGGACAGCCGTGCTTATAATGACTAATAATGTCAAAAATAAATGAAACATGCCATACAATCAACTCTAAGGCAATTTATTAACTTCTGATAAATTAACGTTGTGGTCAACACCATTAGGGAGTTAATTCTACATACAAGGAAAATATGGAAAATATGTGAAATGAGATTGCAAAAGGGGTTGAACTAATAGAAATCACTTCTCAATTTGCATATATGAGAAATAACAACAGTGGATGTTGTACATGGTTATCATGTGACAAAAAATGGTCGAAGTTCAAGCAAAAAACACCAACTAATAATAACATGAATCAGCATTTAATATTTATGCATTTCAAACTACATAAACCTTTTAGTGGTTGCATAAAATGGTCTGCCGATAATCATGTTGTCGACATATTTCTTTTAGATTTTAGACTATCCTGCCTTTCGTCATTTGCTTTCTTCAAGTCCTTTGAGTAAAGTTATTGACCATAGTATCTATCTAATTAGTCAATGAAATCTACTATATAATTTTGTCAACTACTTTTCCAATAGTCCTAATCATATAGATGATGCAAACGTCAACTTAGAGGTGGATTTTTGTTACCTTGTAGACCTACAAAAATTACCACACTGGTCTTTCCTTTCTTAGGAGTGAAAGAAGGTTTTCCAGGATCCAATATTTTGCAGTGTTCATTGAAGACAGCCTGAGAAAAGAACAACAGAGTTGTGTCACACATCAAAATCAACAAACAGCATCAAAAGGACCAAACTACATTGAGTACATATATATTTGTTGTTTAAAACAAAGGTTTCAAATCAGACACACTGCAAGAAAATAACTAAGTGAAAATGTCAAGACAAAGGAAAAAAATGAAGAAAAGACAGTCTGTACGAATGAGACAATAATGCAAATGCCTCTCAAAACAAAAGAACATAAGAAGATGAAAATACTATGGTTCCACATGGTAGCCAGCTGATAATTATAAATGGGATTCAGGGACCTGTCCCTTTTCTTCAAAGCAAGGCCATTGCTTATCAAGATTTCGAAATTCCAATAATCAGACAGGTTGCATGAAAATGATTCTCGTTCCTCATGGTAGCCAGCTGATCAACGTGATGGGCAGTCAGGATTCTGACACCTTTCTGGAAGGGAAGTTTTATGGGTTCTTTGAAGTTTTAATGATCAGATGTGTTCCACAACCAGAGACCCCTCTGAAAATAAATTTGGTACCATCCAATGCAAAGAACGACATACCACATACAAGTTCAATAAAACTAATTTCACGCCCCCTTTAGTCATGGCAAGCTCATAATGCTTGACCAAATTAGAAGATAGTAGACAGTCAAGGTACTACAGGTTTGCATATGCTTTCTCTTGATCAATTTTGATGTTTCCAACCTCATCATAACTAATGGATCCAAAAAGACAAGTAGCATTCCCTTCCAACCACATCTACAGCTTCAGAAAACCTGATCCTTGAACCTGCATCATTTCCACTCCATACAACATCCTTTTAATTTACAGGAAACCTTTTAGAACTTCCATCCTATTAGTTTCAATTATCACTTAAACACCGAAAAATACGAAAAAAGGAATCCGGAATCTGCAAATCCAAATGGAAAAAATAAAAGAACCAATGGTAGAATACGAGAACCCTAAATTCATATCCAATAACCAGTGAAACTTATAAATGTGATTCTTCTTTCTTTAAAATCAAGGACCGATTTTTGAAGCCGATGATCGGAAATTGAACCCTAACAGAAATCCTAAACGATTCCATCCGATGACCAACCTGTTGGATGGTGCGGTGCTTATTGTGGCCGGCGGCGAGGTTGACGATGCGCTTGATGTTGGCCTGCATGTCGCGGACCAGCTTGAACTGGGCGTCGGACGACCTTCTCGTCCCACCGAGCTGTGCGAGCACCATCTTTGGGCCGAACCACGTCGCCCGCTTCCAGGGTTATAGGGTTTCGGATGGCGGGAAGAATAATATTATTTTTACATATCGATCCTTATATATATTTTTAAATTATATTAAGATCCAAACATTTAACTTCATTTCTCCTCACATCGTCGACTCTGTTGATCTAAATATCACAAGACTTGTAGCTGAGTGTCAACTTTGATTTACGATGCACTTGATGTTGGCCTGCATGTCGTGTACCAGCTTGAACTGGGCGTCGGACGATAGCAACATATGCGAAACATCGTTGAGGTACTTGCTGAGCACCTTCTCGTCCCACTGTGCGAGCACCATTTTTTGGCTGAACCACGTCGCCCGCTTCTAGGGTTATAGGGTTTCGGATGGCGGGAAGAATAATATTATTTTTACATATCGATCCTTATATTTTTTAAAATTATATTAAGATTCAAAATATTTAACTTTATTTCTCTTTACGTCGTCGACTATCGAAATACCGACTTATAGCTGAACGTTAACTTTGATTTACTTCGATTTATCAGAAGAAACGAGATTACATATTTTATTTTCATAAGTATTATGATTCTAATATAATTTTTAAAAATATAAAAATTAGTATTATTATTAGTATTATTATTATTATTATATTATCATAATTAATATTCAAATGACTTTTAATTTTTTGTTCACCTAACCAAACTGGCAAACAACAAACAACGAAACAAAAGACCAGATTGCATCTCCTGCAGACCACCTAAATCATCCACATCCAGTCTCTGTCGAGCAAGAATTGGGCCAACAACCCTTAACGAACTACACTTTGCTTGCTTTCTTCAACCACCAAACCTCTCCCTACAAATACTCGTCTCTCCGTTCCTCTCTCCATCAAGTTCAGCAAATCTCAGCTTGGAGGAGACATCACATTCTCAGTGATCGATGGCGAGAAGAGCGTTCGAGATAACCCTGGCGTTGCTGGTTGCGGCCGTGCTTTGTGCACCGTCCTCAGCTCAAACATCTGGTTGCTCTCCTACCTTGGCCGGCCTCTCGCCCTGCATCGGCTACCTCGTCGGCAACTCGTCGTCCCCGACGTCGACGTGCTGCACTCAGCTCGCCGACGTGGTGCAGACGCAGACGCAGTGCCTGTGCGCGATCCTCGGCGGCGGAATCACCCAGCTCGGCTTCGTCCTCAACCAGACGCAGGCCTTCACGCTCCCCGGCGCCTGCAAGATCAAGATGTCTCCGGCCACCCAGTGCAGCGGTCTCCTCCTGTTTGCTGCTCCTGCTCGAGCGTCTCTCCATCGGTTAAGAGGTTCGAGTTGCTGAAGCGTGTCGTGGTGTTGCAGGTTTCACCGTGTCTGCACCAGCAGCAGCCCCGACGGCCGTGCCGACGCCCACCGCATCTCCTGCAGCAGCACCTCCCACAGACGCGCCTCCTGCAGCCGCACCTCCTACAGCCGCACAAGCACCTGAGAGTGTGCCCACTGACTCGACCCCTCCGGTCTCGACTCCTCCTTCAGGTATATACAGGACATGAGAAGCTAAATCGAAGCAAATCAACAGCTTATGTTTGGTTTTGCCGCAGGAAGTGGAGCGAAGACGACGACCCAGGCATCGATGGCAAGGAGCTCTACAAAGTCCAATACTGCTCTCTTCTCCTTCTTCCTCCTCCTCTTTGTGGCTTCCTGTGCTTGAAGTTGATCCATGGCGTGTTATATAAATACTTCTTTGTTATCTACACGTTATAGATTCATATTTGAGAGATTGGATGTTCATCTTTGTTTACGTTGTAAGAAATGGATTGAATTTAGTTGTTAGATTGCACTGGAATGGAGTGATTGATGTGTTTGGTCAGAGATGGCCATCTCTACCAGCTATTTTTTGAGAATCATTCGTTATGCTTGATTCCAATTTAGTACATTGAATCTGCAAATGTTTACAATGGCGAAGTCTTGGTGCTTATGTCAAGTAATTCGATATTGTTGGACTGCTTTGATCCAAAAACATCATCACCAGTATGAAGTTTGGAAGGGATCACTACATGTAATCTTATTCATGGTCTGAAGTTTCGAAGGACTTTTCGTCTGGACTAGTATGGGATACTTGTCGACCTCATTTCGATTCGCCGAAGAGTTCATCAGGAATACTTGTCAAGAATTTAGTGTTGGATTTGGTTCTGTGTTCAAGCAGCTGATTGCATGTTCAAATATCTACTGCATTTTGAGAAAGCAGCTCATATCCTCGATTGCAGTAGACACCAACTCTATGTTGTCATATGGAATTCAATGGTGTTCAACAATGACAAATGCTAATCTCAAATGAAACAGAGCCTTCTTTTCTGGCACAAAAATGGACCTGTAGCAATCCTCTAAAGTGATACTCAAAGCCCAGGAAAAGTGCAGTGAGTGTGCATTTTAGATTTTGACTCTTAAACCTTTGATTGGAAAAGAGGATACTTCCCATCTGAGCTAAGCTTGATTAGCAAATTGAAATTTCCTAAATCTAGTCCATGTTTGATAGACTACAGTCAACTGTGTTGTAATAGTCAGAATTGAGAAAGACCACCTTGTATCAGACTGGATGAATTCATCTACTGTTCCTGTTAATGCATTGTGTTCTGAATCATCATAATCCACTTGATGGTGTTTACATATTAGTCATTCCAATGATTAAAATGAATGATGCATTCTTCAGAAAGAAGAAAAAGAATATACATGATGTAATGATTTCTTGGTTAGCAAGAACATTGGGATGCAGGACAACAGGTTGCAAGGAATTCCATTAAGTTTTCTGTTAGTCTAGTCTAATTACTAACTCATGGGAATTAAGAGCTACATTGCAATCAAACTCTAAGTGAAGATCTCTTTGACATGGAAATTGAGAGATACAAGCATTGGCATCACATGGAGCAACTTTTGATCATAATTAATCATTTCTTTACTTTGTGCAGATCTCTCTTCTTTTTTGGCCTGAACTACTCTCCATTTGTCAGTCCAAAGAGACAGAGAGTAAAGCCAGAATTATTGGCACCTGATGCTGATGAGTGAAGTTACTCACATCAGTCTTGTTTAAGTTGAAAATTCATCCAATTAAGTTCCATTTAGGCAGCTTGTTTGAACCTTAAAAGATCAAGAATGACTTTTAGGAGACTAAGAAGATAATTAAACAAAAGGAACAGATTTACTGCATGAGGATATGATGGATAGTCCTATTCTAACAATTCATAACTTCTAAGATTATGACTGCTGAATCTGTGACTGACTTGATGTGCTTTTATCCAATTGATTTGGAATAGAAGAAAAAAAGAATGTTCTTAATCTTATGGTATCACTGTTTTGCTAATAGTAAGCCATAAGAACCTATGGAACTGCAGAGAAGGAAGGAATCCATGGCACACTACAGTCATCAGATGGAATCACAATGCTGAGCTAATTGATAGGACATGCCTCATACTTATCCATCCCCTATTCTCCTGCTGTTCTTTGGGACCATTGTTCTTTTGTCAGGTTAACAACAGTCCAACTTAATCTTGTGCTTTTCTTACAAGAACCTGCATCACTTCATCATGACCTACTCAATCATGAAGGACTGCTCATTCACATGCACTACATTACTGTACTCTGCTTTTCTTCTTTGTTTCACTCTCATCCTGTAAGCTCCATTGCCAGACCACCATCTTCTTTTGATCATATACTTGGACAAGAGAATGGGTGTGTTGCTCCTCCTGATAACAATAATCTGCACGGCGACATCCCGCTATCGATCGGACTGCACTGATGTGCTCTTCGAGCTTGCTCCCTGCCTTGACTATGTGACTGATGCTTCAACCTGTCCATCCTTGGACTGCTGCAAGCAGTTAACCAATGTGATCAAGACTCAGCCTCTCTGCCTTTGTGCTGTCTTCGATGGAACAGCATCGAAGCTGCTTGGAGTCCCCATTGACACCGACCGTGCCATCAATCTCCCTGAAGCGTGCCAAGAAGAAGAAGAAGAGTTACCTCAGGCCTTGCCAACTTGTAAGTCTAGTTGTAGGAGATCATTCTCTCAAACACTTGCTTGAATGGGGACTAACAGCAGCACTTTCATCACTGAGAGCAGCAGCAGCTCTAAGAAATCATATCCCTGCCGTGCCACCACCTGCTGGAATTCCTTGAGGTACTCTTCCTTGTACTTCCACATTGCAGTAAACTCAAATCTCTCAGATAGGAAAAGCAGGGAGAAATGATCCCAATGCTAGTATGTCTGATGAAGCTTTGTAAGAGTTTGTAAGCAATTTGAAGTTTGCACGAAAATTCATAGGTCACAATCATAATCCAAATCCCACATTTATGCTGTTTGGCAATTCTTGCAGAAGATGGTGAAAGAGGATCACTTGGAGAGAAACATCCTAAGCTGCTAAAATCTCAAGCTACCTGCTTATTTCTCAGAGACCTCACTCACTTGCTGTGCTCGGACAATTAGAACCTCCTTATTAGCTGCTGAATGCAGTTGTCTGGTTGTGCTCTGTTGTCATATCTCTTCATGTTAGTTGTTTGTCCACTCTCTGTTCATATCAGTTTGGAAGGGTTTTGATGCATCAGATTCAGTTTGGTGGAGTTCTTGTGTTCTTGAATCAATTACTGATTACATACTACAATTAAGAGTCCATACATGGATCTTCCTGCTCAAACAAACTATTCTTATATACTGCTATATTACAGCAGAAAAAATGATACTGTAAAAGGTTGAACACTGAAGGCACTCAAGAACTTAGAAGAAATGGACTATGGTTGCTGGTATTTGCTGGGGAATGTGTTGTAAGTTCAACAATGCATGATCAATCTATGTGACAGTAGAACTCACCAGTTAAACTTGCATTGTGCATGCTAATGTCATGTACTACTCTACCAACAGTAAGTGCACTGAAGCCACATCCAAGTAAATTAAACTGAACTTACAATCTGATATGGTCAAACTGCCTACTCTCAAATCTTTAGCTTTGAGTCAGATGACATAAAGCTTAATAATAATTTATTGATAAGTATAAAGAAAACAGTGGTGGAAAATATTCCCTCTGAACAGGCAAGCAATAATAACCTTTAATTTATACTTCACATTGTCTATGCAATTATTCTGTAAGCACCCAAATCATGACACCATGCTACAAAGTAGGTAGGTTTTGCCATAAAATAAATATAGCACACAGTTGCAGCTGCCATAAATTATCAAGTCTTGACAAATTAGCAGGTTTTGACCTATTGATCATTAATTAAGATAGAATAAATACTAATCAACCATGCTGTTTGCACAAGAAATATATAGTGATGCTGGTTTTTGAAAGCAACCACAGTATCATTTATAATCTGGAAACATAATTTATCAACTCATGATGGCAACTCCACCAAGGGAAGAACTCTGCTGACTTTTGGGACACATCATGAGTTAAAATCCATAATGGGATGGAGCTTCTTTTTCCACAATGCACATTTTATTCTCCACTTACTGCTTGGACTAACATGTAGTAAGAGAGCATCTATTAGGTAATCTGAAAGTGATAGCTTGAGAACAGTGAGCCAAAAGGAGATGAGTTTCCTAGTGAACATAACATTGTGATTAACCTTAACATGTCACTCTCAGCCAAAAAAACTGTGGCACAAACCCACAGTAGCAGGCACAAACCCACAGTAGCCTGATCCAGAGCCATCTCTACAAAACCTCACCATTCTCCCTCCACTGAAACCAGAAACAATGAAAGAACACCCACATGGATGCAAAAATGACCAAGCATTTTCCTAGGATCAGCTTCATCTCTTTTGGACCTAATCCAACACAATAAAATCAAATTCACAAGAAGCTACATATGCTCCATGGTCGACGTCTGCGACTTCCTCATCACCTGCATAGTACACGAATGAGATGAAGAGAAGCTTGGGCTAGACTTTAGCGATGAATCTGTAGAGTGATTGTCCAACTCTTCATAGATGAGCATCTCATGGTACCGGCACTCATTGCTGCAAAATGCTTTTTCACCTCTGAAAGAAACATGTATCATCAGTCCTGCACATCATACTGGTGAAATCCAAAATACAAGCTGAACAAAGTATTCTCAACTGAAATGTTTTCTAAGGACAAATGTGGTAAGGTCAGAAAGAAGCTACAGTGATTAAGCAAAAACCAAGTGCAAGAACAAGGAAGGAGAGCAATTCATGGATCAATCAAATAGATCAATGGCTGAAATGGCCCAAAAGAAAAGGACATGTATGGTGACCCTCTTGGCCTCTCGATGCCTAGTCCTTGTCGGGTAACAGCAACACAAAGCATGAAGTTATTCAATTCTGAATCAAGAGCCGAAAGCTTTTTATTGACCACGAAAGCAATCCCTGCAGAGAGATTGGGGACCCCAATAGCAACCAGTGGAGTCATGAAGATCCCAACAACAACAGCATGTACATGGTCTAATGTCTACAGTTCTGAACAGAAAACATATGAGACAAAATGAAACAGTAGTGTCTAATCTTGGCTATGAAAGTGACAAGGAACCTAAATGTTGCCCTCAGTGAGCAAACACCACTATTATTGATCTCATTCAAGTTAATCAAACAGCTTGTCTAAGAGTTCCATAACATAATGGCACAAAAAGAGAACTATTCTCTTTTTAGTTTGCTCGGCGATTGCAGGACTGATGAGCTTTCATGGTATAAGTACCTAAACATGATCACAGGAAGCTGAAATTTTAACAACCAGCAAAGAATAAATCTTCAGCAAGCACTGATGAGCTTTATCCCCAATACTCGTGCCTATAGCATGTAATAGAGTTTCATGACAGACATAGCTAAAGATGCCTCAAAAATACTACTATAATCCTACTTTCTGCAATTTGAGTTCATGCATTGTCAAATTAAAGTAAATAACTTAAATGTTAATTTCATGAAGAAAGTTTTAAGAGACTAACCTATACATAAAGATATCCTTCCCGTGTCCAAGAATCTTCTTGCATGCATAGCAGAAGGTTATGAAATCATCTGCAGGATAGCCTTGACTTGGCACAAAACTATTATCCTTCCTTGCAGGCATGAATTCCTCACCACAGCTTTCCACAATGCAATTGTCAAATATGTGTGTGGTCTTCGGATTTGGCCCATGGGAGATCACACAAGTGTAGTCCTCTGAGAGCTCCATCTCGCTCGCGGAGATGCTCCCGGTGAAAACACGAGGGGAAGAGACAGACACCTCATGGTGATGGCCCAAGGATCTCCGGATGGGAGAGAACAAAGCCAATTGGGAATCCTTGTTCTTGATGCCAAATTCTATCGGAGAACTAGGTAGCTCCATGGACCTGCCCAGCGAATTGGAGTTTGAGTTGATGGAGGGGATCTGAATCCTTAACTGTGAGCCAGACACGACCATTCTACGCTCAGCCTTAGATGACTCCTTGGCTTTGTCATCGTTGAGTGCATCAACTAACCCAAGGCCAATGGGTTCCGGTCTACCATAGTTCCGAGAATGGTGTTTGCTCTCTGTTGAGGCTGAGACAACCTCACAAGGAGGCTTCTTTGGCTGCTTGTCAGAGTACAAGACATTCCCAAAGGAAGACAAGTGTCTGGTTTCAAGTATGGAGGTCGGGCTCATGGCAACTTCACTGTCTGCGAAGCCCTTCGAAGAGAAGCTCCGAAAGAGCCTTGGAGAGGGGAAGAGGGAGGAAGCTGTGGGCTTACTGAGGCTGTTGCCAGTGGGAGATGGGAAGGGCTGGGAATCAGACATCAAGCCCTGTTTGCCACCAACTGCTCTGGATCTATTCCTCAGCATAATATTCTGCTCCTCTGCTATGGAGATGGAAACAAATGAAAAACTTCAGAGAGCAGTTCTGTAATCAAAAGCAAACAAATCCAATAGGACAAATATAATGAGATGTATGAACTCACCAGCCCTGGCCGTCAGCTTCAGATTCTCTTCTCTTCAATGTTCAGAATGAGGCAAAAAGGAAGCCAAAACTCTTCCATTTCCCTTCATCTAATGCATCGTTAAGCTCCTGCTTCTGTGACAAAGAAGATTGGATTCCTACAGACTATCAACGGGTCTTCTCTACTCCAACAAAGAAGAGCGCCTCAACCTCAAGAAACTGGAAATAACATGTCTCTATCAACCATTGCAGCCCGCGGCACAACAGAAAGATCAAAGGTATCATCTTTTTGACCTACTTGACTCGACCTCCATTAGAACAACGACCAAAGTGATTACTCCGAACTCAATCTAAGACCAGAGACCAAAAGCCTCGAAATGATCGCTCCTTGCCGCTCCTAGAGCGATCACTTTTACTCAAAGGTCCGATTTTTGCTGCAAAAACCTTTAAAAGATCGTTCCTTTCCGCTTCCTTCCTTCTCCGAGGGCGATCACTACAGGAAAAAAAAAAGAAAGAAAGAAAGAAAGGGAAAACGAGTTCTTGGACCTGCGCAATCCACTCCTAGTGGTGATCGCAGGGCCAGGGGAGGCTGTGGTGGTGCTATGCCTGGGGAAGCAGGAAGCAAAGGTGGGGGCATATTTAAAGGCACCGTGCGCTGGGATCACCTCACCAAAACAGAGGAGAGACCTCCTAAGCGTCGTATTTGCTTCCACTGAAACCTCTCTCTCTCTCTCTCTCGCGTCTTTTACTGACTGTGACTGCAATCAATGCCGCAGTTATTATTTCTTTTATGGTAATTACTCTGAAACAGATGGCATTGGCAGAATAATTAGAGAGAGAGAGAGATGATGGCACTACGCATTCAATCCAAATCAGTACGGAGGTTTAATCTTTACTGTGACACTGATGTGAGTATGAAATGAACAGTATAGCTCAGAAACTGTAGCAGGGTTTTTGGCTTGGCTTAGCCAAGTGAGAATTGTTGATGACTATCATATTCATTTTTCTAAAAAATAAAAAAATAAAAGTTCATATTTTCTTGTATATTACAACATACTTGCAAATATGAAGTTAGAATTCGGTCAATGGTTAATGTTTAATGAGTCAAGAACACTATCTGCAAATTTATCATTTTATTTATCTATCATAATATTTACTTAGCAGTGGAAGACATCACAATGCCTGGCAAAAAAAAAAAGTGATTTTTTGGTGAAATTACATATTTATTTCCCTAATTTGAGTTTAACAAATATATCCATGTAAAACTCAAAAAATTACCATCATGTGACTATCAGCATAATAATGACATTAAAATTTTGACCAGCATTAACACTTTTTCAAGAATATCATGTATATATTAAATCAATAATTTCCATATTTTCTACTTTATTTTTTTAACTCATTGGTACTCATGGTTGCTAGTGATTAGCCTATATGGAGGTGAATAATTAAAGCAGTATTAGTCATTAGCCTATATTCTATACCATTATATGAAGGGGCAAATATGATGTTTTCTAACATTTAAAGGATAGATATGTGAAACCATTGGGTGGTGTGGCCTAATAGTTTTTGTTGAAGCCTAGTTTGAGTTGTTGCTTGGTGACAATCATTGGTGGCCTTGAAGTGGGAAGGTGTTTATTCCTCTACTTAGCTTTAGCTTGTAGGGGTTGGAGTAGGGGGAGGACCATGGAATTTTATGGCAGTCATAAATGGAAAATCACCATTCTGTGATACTAAACCTTGGATGTAAAAAGTCCATTAATTGAGACAAAAGCACTAAAATTTAAGGTTCTTTCTTTTTCTCATATATAATTTGTTCAACAATGTCCTGACCATGGTTAAATGGAAGTATTACCATGTGTAGAGGAAGAAAAATGTTATGGAGTATGATGGAATTGTTCTTGGGGACCTAAAGTGCATCTCTTGATTGCTTGTTGGCTAGTGGAGAAGCTTGGTCTTGTGGGGTTATATTTTATAAAGGCAAAAGGTTCTTGTTGACTAAGTCCAATGTTTCAGAAAGGTGGTAATAGAGAATTAGATGATTGAGGGCCACAGGCATTGCACTGTTCTAACAGATGGAATGGTATGAAGGAGGACAATCAGTCTTGCTAGGGAAATAGTTTGTCAAAAAGCATCAATAGTTTTTTCTTTTTTTTGTTGAGGGTTCAACCAAGTTGTTGATGTGTGTTTTAATCCTATAATTTTCTCATATATTAGCCCCAAGTATATAATCATGAAGTTGGGCTAAACTTCATGATCACAAAAAAATTTCTACCTTAATCATACTCTTCCTCCTAATAATAGCTCTTGATTTGATGCTTGAAGATGTATCATTAGAAACCTCCAAGGTTTGGTGGAACAGTGTGTTGAAAACTCAAAACACCCAGAATTAAATAACCAACCTTTGAAAAATATGATTTGTTTGTTCTGTGCTTTCATCAGCTAAATATCAAGTGGACCCTCATAGTATCATCTCAATGTCCACATTCAATCATATTATTGATTTGTAAATGTAGCTCCTGTAGATGTTTATTAGAGATTGAGTGTCAGAAATCTTATTAGTCATAAATAATTGGTTTTCATTTCAATAACTATTCAGTGCAGTTATTAGTCAAATCTGGATTTATGCCACTGAGGCCCTCAAACACATCAAAATAGTCCATTGAACAACCCAACTGACTTGACTTTTCCTCATCTCTGATGCAAGACTTCCTAGCCAACTTGTGATTCTTCTAATCCAGTTTTGTAATCTGATCAGGTCTACAAGTAAGTACAAGCCACATATTTGTTGAGAGCAGTACATGTATTTGAAATCATTTGATGGTGTTGTGCAAGAAACAGTTTCCTGAAGTTCACAGTGCTTAGCAGTAGAAGCTAAAGAGCATCTGAATTATTGTGGAAGCTGAAGAATACAGGAAGCATATTTCACTATCATTTGATGGACCAGTGCAAGCAACAGGCCACTTTTTTCTGAAGTTAACAGTGTAGGACCTTGAAAATTGAGTAGCATAAATTTAATATTATATGAAATTTTGTGGAAGCTGAAGAAAACAGGAAGCATCAATTGATGGATCAGTGCAAGCAACATCCCACTCTTTGCTGAAGTTATCAGTGGTGGAAGCAGAAGAACATATAAATTATATAGAAATGAATGTTGAGTAGCAGAAGCTGCAGAGCATCTGAATCTTTGTATAAGCTGAGGTTACAGGGAGCACCATTTGGTGGATCAGTGCAAGCAACAGCACACTATTTGATGAAGTTACCAGTAGCAGAAGCTGAAGAGCATATAAATTATATAAGAGTATCTGGATTTTTGTACAAACTGAAGAATACAGGAAGCATCACTTGATGGATTAGTGCAACCAACAGCCCAACTTTTGCTGAAGGTAACAGTGTAGGACATTGAATATTGAGTGGTAGAAGCTGAAGAGTGTCTGAATTATTGTAGAATCTGAAGGATAAAGGAAAAATGTTTCACTGTCATCTGATGGATAAGTGCAAGCAACATCCTACTCTTCGCTGAAGCTAACAGTGTAGGACCTTGAATGTTGAGAAGTAGAAGAAGAGGAAGAGCATCTGAATTATTACAGAAATGATTCATATGCAGACAAGAGAAAGAGGAAGATGCTATTGGCTTGTTCTCATGCCTTGCTTGGGTCATGAGGCTGCAAGAAGTCTGTTTGAAGGGGCCAACAATGACCACAGTACAGTGACCACCTACAATTGTTGCTATTTTTAATGATCCATTTGTTCCCATAGGTGTAGGCAAATGGATTGTAGACCTTTGGTGGGTTAAGTGACAATGGATTATAGACATTTTCTAAAGAACAAATTACAGTTGGATAAAGACCAAAATAACTGTGTTTGAGTGTCATTATTATGACTCAAAAGCCATTTGTTTTGAGCCATCCTTGTTGGAGTTCTTTGTAATATCTAGATTTGATTGTCATATCCATGATATCATGATAATTTGATAAGAAGGATCTTTGTCATGACACTAGCATTTGTCCCTATAATGAGTGCATAAAGTAAGTTTTTGTCATAAATTATCTCTGTCTTCTTGGATGAGAAGTTAAAAGCCAAGGTAATCAAGTGCACAACATCAATGTCTTCTTGGGGGTGTAGTTGGTGCTGAGGCCCCATACCATTTTTCTATGTTATTTTCCTCCCATTGAGGGAGGGGGTGTTATCAACAATTCAAAAGTGGGGCCTAGTCATGATGACTGGTTGATGCTTGCCACATAATGAGTTAAAATTGGGGTAGATGGTTGATGGGTCTCTTTGGCAATGGTTAAGGTGGATAAGGACAAAGAGATTGCAACATTATGAGTTCATCATTCACTCAATCACTTGTGCACCATTTATACCACTTTCTTTTGTGTTGCTTACTTTGAGGGCAAGTTTGACACTATTTATCCTACTGTTTTCTGTTTTACAAATAAAAAATTAAAAATCAAGTGATTTTTTAGATTATTACTTTTATTAAGAACACATTTCCACTTCTGAATATTTTCAAATTGGGATTCATCTAGATGTTGTTGCTGTCACTAGGAAAACAAGAAATTGACAAAGAAGTTTATGTTAAATTTTAAGCAACAAAGATACCTTCAAAAATGAAAATGTAAAAGAAACAGTTCATGTCTCTACTTAGTTTCTGAAAACTTAATGCATGCATTACAATTTTTAAATGCATACTTGGGTTTGATACCTTTTTTTAATTAAAAAACTTCTTTTCAAAAGAAAAAAAATTATGACTTTATGGTTTTTGACATAGACTTTGTTACAATGATTAGGTTGTTCCTTTGAAAAACCAGGTTCGAGTAATGGAAACGAAAACCGTCTCTCTGTATTTAACGGTAAACTACGTATGTTATGTTGATCCTCCCTAGACCTCATGTAAAGGAGATAGAATAAAAATTTCAATGCTATAATTACTTCCGATCATTATGTAGACTTTAACTTTTGCATAATGATTCTTGGTTGGAAAATTGTATGACCAAAGGAAATTAATTATAAGCGAAACAAACCAATGCTTAATTTCCCACTAAGAACTATAACAACCTAAATGTGCTATGAATAAATCCATAATTAAACTACAAATTCTAAAACCACTAGTTATATTTTGGTTTCATTAATTTTATGCACCATTTTATAATGAGAAATATAATCTGTATTATTATTTTATATCACGGCGCCTAAAACTTAACATGCATCACTTATTTTTTGCAAAATCCATGACACAATTTCAATTTTTAACTCATATATAGAATGATCTACACATTCATTAGATAGAATAAATAATATTATATCATAGATTACAAATCCTTTAGATTTATAAATCATCACATGAAAATGAAAAAAATCCAAAACCATCCACAAACAGCCAAAATAAGTGCCCTAGGCAAATTAAGTGATAGATAATTTATCCACTATTTTATAAAAGATTTTTAATGCACCATGTTTTTGTCAAGATAGAGACACAGAGGACAATAGTTTCCATATCCAGATTGATGGAAGAGTTTCTCCGAAACATAATATCTAGTGATGCCTTATCTGTTGGAAGTGGGTGGTGTAACTTCAAAAACTAAACCATATAATAATGATATATGAGATACTTATATA